ATACTTGTTGTTGATACCAGTGCGGTGGCAGAAGTAAACTATGTTTCTATCCATTTAGACCTATTTACTGATGCGATCTATTAGCCCACTGACATTAGATCCTCCGAGCACCCTGATGCACATGCAGAACTGGAGAGGCCCCCATCACCCGCAAACTGGGTGCCATCATACTCTGTCAGCGTTCAGGGCAGCCCTTCGCAAGAACGTTTGAATCCTCTCGAAGAGGTCCTCTCTGAAATTAAAGAACCACCCGTGACCGTCAATGTAGACCCTGTACCTGAGGTTGTCGTCCAAGACACTAGTGTCACTATTCCGCAGGTTACACTGACTGAAACTCTGGCCGAGGAAGATGTTGAGCTGGTAGCTTCGAACGTGGTGAGTTAGTACAGTACTGAGATGGAAAGAGTGTTCATTGTTTCTTTTGTTCCACTTAGGCACCTGTCGCAGCTGATGTCGTGGATGACGAAGCTGACGTAGACGAAGCACCAGCTACTGCGAACGGTCCCGTCGTGGTGGTGGACGCAAATCAAGATGTCGAGGTATGGAATCTTGGGACTGCTGACTTCTCGCAATTCTCATATTTATGTTCAGGATGTCGTTGGTACGCATGCTCTCGCCGCAGATGCGGGTGAACAAGATCGTCCAAAAAGCCCATGGACTCCAAGCTACTCTGTTACTACTCAAGGGTCTACAATCGTAACCGAACAAGCGGAACTGGATCAGTTCGAGCCTCTCCCTCAACGATTATTAGCCACCAAAGCTCTCCAAGATACAACAGTCGATGTTCCACGAGAGAATACTCCTTCAGTCCCTGTTGATGGAGTCGATGAAGTAGCCACATCTAACAAAGTATTCCCAAGCCTAGGGGAACCAGATAGGCCTACGTAAGTCATTTTGCCCACTTGCTTGTTTATGTCTCACAACTTTTGCAGTCCCATCAGTGTTCGGCTGGTACCTTTGGACGAGGATGCAGTCACAGATGTTTTGGCGTCACCCGCTGCAACTTCTCCCTCCACGACTCGTTCACGTTTAGAGTCGACAACATCTTCGCGTTTCTTCCCTGGCAGTTGGTTCTCACCAACATACAAGGTCGCCGGAGAAGGCAGGGCATCCCTTGAATTCGCGCAGGGAGAATTCGTTGCCAAAAAGTCACCTCCCTCTATTGACGACACACCCGATAGTCCCGCCGTTGCAGAGGGTCATTCGACTGGTGAATCTGAGGATGACGATGACGAAATGCCTGAGTCTGCCACCAGCGACCAGAAGAGGAAATGGTGTGTTATCATGTGAGCAAAGGATGGCTGGCTGCGAGTATTATTTTCCTTCATCGAGCACAACTCAATTCTCGCTGAATACTCGTTACGATTTTTACGACCATTCATGCCATTATTTACTCTCACTTATCGTCTATGCTTCATAATTGCCTACTCATCGATCTTTGGATGCACACAATACTCTGGATTTTTCTAATTCACCTCCTGTCCTATATACGTATATACGTAAGCTTGACAATCAATCGGTGTAGGTAATTATCCCGAATCTTCATTGATGCTTGGTGTACTAAAAGTACTACGTTGAAGTGTGTGTATCGGTGTAAGAATGTACGAGACACCATCGATCATCGTCTTATTACTTGCACCACTTGAATACAAGCAAATAATTTCTCACTGATTTATTCTAATTATAAACACTCAGAATCTGTCGATCGCAGTGGAACCTCCGTTAACACGAGGTTGTCGACCAAGAGCCTTCATGACTGTCGAAAACGTCACAACTCCCCCGAGAGTCTTAGTATCCCAACCGGGTAGATGGCTCTTACTGTTTTCACAAGTGGTACCATCGTGGAAGACGGTCCATAGAGAGGATATCCACGGAAGGAGAGGGTTTGACCTAGCTGGGATATTCGAAAACAGTGCGATTTTCTCCTTCACGGCTGCGAAAAGTGCGACTTTCGCCGTCCGTGCGTAAGACAGCTCGGGTGCGTCCCATGGCCGGATCTTGGGATGTATAGCGACATCGCGTTCTTTATTCGTGAAATCGTAGTGAAAGGCGGCCCAGACCAGGATATAGAAGAAGGATTCGAGGTCGTGTCGATAAAGATGAGGAGGAGGAGTTTCGTTTTCATCGACCAGTAAATCTCGCGCCATAAACGGAATGGTGCCAGTGCGATGTTTGGAAGTAGACAATGGGACTTCGTCATCACTTCCGACGTGACCAGCCATGTCCCAGTCATTTACAACCCCCTTCACGGTGCCATCTTGCGCGTCCTTGAACATCAAATTGTTCTCGCTTACATCGCGGTGCAAAATCCGCCCAGCCATGTAGGCATGGTAGTGACCTAAATATTATAACCGTCAACGCAATTCTCTGAAGAAGACAAAAAAAGTACTCACATTCTACACAATCAACGAACACTATTTGGAATTTCTCAATGCTCCCGACCTCCCACAGGTTATTGTACAAGGTCATGACCATCATATGTAGGTAGCGATCTTCGAACTTCTCTATGGAACACTGCTTAAGTAACTGGACGCGAGGCAGTTCCAGTTCTTCTGCGGTGAGGGTGACAGAAGAGGAGACATCAGGCAAGTGATCCTTCCATTGAGGAATTTTCTCGCGGAGTATCTTGATCGTATCGGCCTCGAGACAACGGTTGCGCGAAGGCCAACTGATTTTCAAGGCCTGATCTTCCGTGTCGACGCCATCCACAACGGGAGTTACCTGGTAGACCATAGTTCCACGACCAATGAGACCTCGGTAGGCAAATAAGACATTCTTGATACGAAATCGAGGCCCGGCGTGACCATTCGGGAGGGGGAGGCTGATCTCACCACCAATTATATCCTGCTGGTGCTGCGGGATTCGAGGTAAGCTTGGTGGAAAACTCATGTAGGGGTCGAAGCCAGCATGCTTATCGTCACAGGTGAAGATCGCATATAACACCGCGGCAAGTTTACCGGGTTCCAGCTCGAAGTCAAAGAACTCCGAGCGGATAATACAGGCGCGATCGTAATACCAGAGAGAAACCTTGAACCGATCGATGAAAATGCCGCAGACAAAGTGTCGAGTGGAGGCATCTAGGCTCTCCAGAGCATATCCAGCAAGCTGGGCGGTATCATCAGTTATAATGTGGATTTGTTCTGAGCTGCCAGCGGCCCGACTCGTAGTGCGAGAACGCTTTGGCTGAGGTATATCATGATTTTGTCGATTTTTTCGTTTGAGATCAGCAGCTCGCGATGAGGCGGGGTTCTTCCAAGTCGTGCTCTCCTCGAAGTCAACTGTTGTTGGTATAGCTGGATCCGTATTAGCGATGGCACTAGATGATGTATACATCTGCGTAGAAGCAGATGAAGAAAGAGACGACGTTGCATATAATAGTTGCCGGGGAGCAGTGTCGGATGATTTGTGAGTGGATGAAGTAGCGATTGGCGAATACTGAGAAGTGCGAGCCTCGGCAGCATTTTCTCTGCGGGACTTTCGCTTAAATTCGAATATTTGTCTTCCAGCACACCAAACAGGTTCTATGCCAGGGAGAGGCTTCTGTCGCAAAACAATCATGTCCGGTTTTCGCTTTGTATGGGCTGTACGCAATATGCCCTCTCCCCTGGCATGCCAAAAGTACATATCGTCCGTTTCTGGCCAAAGTTCGTTGGACTTGCCTTCGAAGGCATTCTTGACGTCTGCTAGCAGTGATATAGCCATTTGTCGGAATGGCTCATACATGCTAGGCTCTCGAGCTGCTTGTCTATATTTATCGAGATGAGTCACAGACAGTGTCCAGGGTTTGCCAGCGATTGCTTTTGCCCGGTTGAGGTCGAGCCCAAGCGCTATAGAGATGAAATCGAACAGTGGGACAATGGTGTGGTTCCCATCGACGTCTTCCTTGATCTTGTCGTATATGTTGCGAGCGGTCTGGTCCTTTTGACCAGTTACTCGCCGTCTATGCGGCGTAGACATGTCTATGGCACAAGTTAGGCTTCAGTGAATATACATGTATAGAAAAAAAAGATGCCAAGAACCTGATTCGTATGAGGAATAGTTTGTTAGAGATGTGGCGGAACCTCCTGGGGAATAAGAGGAATTGGTCGGAGTAGACATATTGGACGTCGACTTTAAATGGACCGCAGGATCCGGATCTAGCAGCACCGCGCGTCGGATGACAATGGTTATAGATTTCGCACTTTGAAAGTTCTGGCCAATGGTCACAATCGAGGTTTACTACATAGAAAGATAATCGTTGACGAAGCACGAATTGGTTGAACAATGGTACATGTCACTGATCGCCAATCAGCGGCTATGCCACGTGTTTAGGCTCTTGCTAAAACTGGGAAGTTTCTGGGAAGATGACTCGACGAACACTCACGAGACCCTGCTAAAAATGGGGATAAAAAACATGAGGTCCATAATTAATCCCATTGTAAACGATGAATCTGAAATATTGCTGCACTCTTCTCTTACCACATGCACCGTAGCCCAAGTTGAAGCCAGAACTTTCAACTGTCTCGTCCGTGGCTGTGATGCCACGGTTAGTGTTTAGTAATAAAAATTGCTAGCGGGCGCACATTTATAAAACACGTCTAGAACGAATTTTTCGAAGTACGGTACTCTAAGCTCTGTGTGAAAATGGATCGTGTCTGCCACCACTAGATAGTACCCATTGTGTCATGGCGTGTCTTTCCAATATAAACGTGCAGAAGCTACCCGCTATAACAGATTTTGGTATTCAGGGAGAAATTTCTCTTTTTAAAAAAGTTATTTATCAAATTACTTCAAAGACCTATTAAACGACAGCCCGGGTCACTGGCAATTCTAGATCTTTGATGATATTGTTCCATTCGACCCATAGAAGCAGAATTTCCATTTTAAAAAGGTATAAAAATGATGTACAGCATCCCGCCGTATGTGACATCTCTGTTGGTCCGCAACGATCTGCGCCACAATCTTATCAAGGGACAGGGTTCACATAGATCAAAGCATTACTGAGAGCATCCCTGCACATCCCTTCGATAGCTCAGTTGGAAGGGCGCGGGACTGTAATAGGATACCAAAGATTGTATGAAGTATATCCCGAGGTCACTGGATCGACGCCGGTTCGAAGGAGAGCTCAGGCTTTTTTGGATTTGGAAGAATCTAAAGATGTAGCCAAGCAAGACCATCACACGTATCCGGTTTCCGACCTTCTACATGCCACCAACCAACAAGTCCAAGGCAAAAGGCGTCAGCGCGAGCTCCTTCCTTGATCTCAAGGCAGAGTTATCCAAGCAAGAGGCTGAATTCTCTAAGGCTGCAGGGTCAGCCAACTATGTCATTGGCGGCGTCAAACGCCCTGACAAGGTGAGTTTGGCCAAGAGACACCTTTTTATTTCAATCTTACCAGTGGATCAGAAACCGACCGTATGGGCTCGACAAAACAAGGGCCTACAGGCAAGGGCTTCCCGTGATACCGAACTCGAAGCAGTGAGCAAACCGACACTAGAGTCGGCGCGTGCGGCGCTCGAACGCAAGGCAAAGATCTACGAGAAGCTACGGAGGGGAAAGACTGGTGGGCTTAACGACAAGCAATACGATGCACTTTTGGTGGATGTGAGTTACTATACACATATTGTACTCCTGCTAATGACTACTTTATGGTAGTTTGATTCCAAACCTGGAGACAACTACGAGTCGGATAGTGGTGATGTAGATGAATCTATAGAACTTGCACGACCGCTCGACCACGTACGTTTACAGTGCCTTCAAACATGGTTGCAACTCAAACCGTTCGATAGGACGACCCAATTGTGGAATATGAAGATGAGTTCGGACGCATTAGAACAGCACGGCGTTCAGAAGTGCCTCGAGAGCTCGCCCCAGCACCCCAAGAGGAACACGATGAAGACGAGTAAGTTATATCCTTTTCTCTTCGCCACTTGTCTGCTTATACCTTACTTTAGGGATATAATAATCCGTATGTTCCTCTAATTACCTATTGTATCCTGGTTAACCATACTTATAGGAAACCCCGTGAACCATTTCCCCGTGTATGAGCCCAGTGCCGAGCGGGTTGCTGAGATTGCAGCTGCATATGCGGAAGAGAACAACCCTCTCAATGTTCATTACGATGCATCAGGAGAAAACCGCGCCAAAGGCGCTGGGTTCTACCAGTTCTCCGGAGACGAGGAGACACGCAGGCGGCAGATGGAAGAGCTTAAGGCTGCGCGTGAAGAGACAGGAAAGGTACGGCAGGAGCTGGGTGCGGTAGATGTACAGCCTGGTGAGGTAGAGGGCATGCGGGACAAGGGGGAAAGCGCGCGGAGCAGGGCGATGGATAAGCGCAAAAGGGATCTCGAAGAGCGCAGAAAACTGGTCGAGGCGAAACGGAGAAAAGTTGTTGGAAATGCAGGCGATGAAGCAAAACTCCCAACCGTAGTGTCGGGACCCCCCATCGCGATGGCCTACACAACTGTTCCTCAGGATCCAATTGCTGCTCTGGAGTTAAAAACCGAAACATCTAGCCGGGAAAAGGGGAAAGAAAAGGCACCAGTAGCAAACGATGCAGATGCTTTCTTATCACAGTTAGAACGCGACTTCATTCGTTCGAAAGGGAAAACATAATACTTGCGCCCACCATTTTCCTTCCGGCGAGCCAAGTATTTTTGGTTGAACAGTGCACTTCCATCACAAGAAATCCTCCTAATTGCCGTCCCAATCCTTGCGGCTAAACATTTGATGAAGTCAGACCGGCCATGCGCGACCTTGCCAAAGATTAGGGTCACCGTCGGTGTTCTTAAGAAGCACCCTGGCGCGATGCATGCCACTATAGATAGATTTCATTTTATATGTGGGACTTGGTAAAATAGGTGATTCAGAATAACTAGCCAGTTCATGTGTGATGAGAAATCGAGATGGTATTCCAGGGCACTACCCTTACCTACGCAATCAACCCCCAGAGACCGGACAGATTACAGCGACTTCTTCTCCGCCATTGAGTTGGATCTGCGTTGGATCTTCTACCATCTCAGCATCAACACTCCATTGGCTGCCCTCGAGCACTTTACCCAGTGCGGTATTTGGATGTCGCGCGACAAGCAGAGCAGCGAGCGATGTGAGGGGCAAGGGGCTGTCACCGGGAAGTGGTATATCCTCCTCAGTAAGATTGGTGGCAGTAGATGCGGCGGCGAAGTAGAGGACGGTAATGCTGCGCTGGGAATCGGTGGACATGATAGTCGGCAAAGAGGCTGGATTCGCCGAGCTTACAGCCTCACACAAACGGCAGGGTCGGCTTCGACCTCAACGCTCCCTTCTACTTGCTAATGATCCTGTAACGTTCTAATAAAAAATCGTGACTAAATGCCCTCTATCTCGCAACTATCTCATCGTGCCGCGCCTACTCATGATTCCCCCTCGAACACTGACACTGTCTCGTTTACCCCCTCGACTACCTTACAGCCAAAGCACTCACAAACGCGTTTTGGCTGGTTTAGAAACCTTGGGGCAGGAATTTTGCTGGATATTCGTGCACGCGCGCCATGGTACATCAGTGACTGGACCGACGCATGGAATTACCGTGTAGTCCCAGCCACTGCTCTCATCTTCTTCGCCAAGTGAGTGCGTCTGCTTGTCAATCATTCCATGTTTTCATCGGCTTTCTATTCAGTGTTCTTCCCGGCATCGCATTCTCTCTAGACCTGATAGAGACCACAGGGCAGTATGGTGTCGCGGAGGTCTTGCTTTCTTCGTTCATGGCCGCGTTTGTGTTCTCGGCCTTCGGTGCTCAGCCCCTCACTATTGCGGGAGTCACCGGTAACACCAAATGCTGTGGATCTAGGGCAGATCTAACAACTTTTCATAGGACCTATCACTGTCTTCAATAAAACGATATACGACATCATAGAGGGCCAGAAGAATCCACCCATTTATCTACATTTTATTGGCTGGGTCTATCTTTGGGCAGCTATAATCCACTGGCTTACCGCCATCCTTAATTGTAAGTACTCTCAAGTCCTCGATTTAACATATTCAATATCGTTCCAGGGTGCAATTTTCTTAAATACGTAACGCTTTTCTCATGCGATACCTTTGGTTTCTACGTCTCCTGGGTTTACTTGCAGTATGGCATCCAGGTCGTCACTCGCCAGCTACAATCTACCAATCCACCAAACACCCCCGGTGCTCTTGTTTCGATCATCCTGGCGTTACTCATGCTAGTCACTTCATTCCTCTTCCTGTCGCTATCTCAGAAGAGCTTTTTCCACCGACATGTGCGGCGCTTCCTAGCAGACTATGGTATGCCCGTATCTTTGATCGCTTCTTCCGCAATGGCGTATTGGGGAAGGTTCAATACGGCCAACCCTGCCACACTACCTGTAGGCAAAGCATTCCAACCCGCTGGAGGGCGCGAATGGCTTGTCCCGTTCTGGCAACTTGAAGGGAAATGGGTGGGTATAGCTCTACCATTTGGGGTCGTCCTCTGGATCCTCTTCTTCTTCGACCATAACGTATCTGTAAGCTCGCCCGATTTTATCTTTTCAAGCCAAGACATGTTTCTTACCTTCTTGTGGTTAGTCTCTCATGGCACAAAGCTCCGAATTTCCTTTGAGGAAGCCTCCTGGATTCCATTGGGATTTTTTCTTACTTGGCGTGACCACGTTTATCGCTGGTTTGCTCGGCTTACCCGCTCCAAATGGACTTATTCCCCAGGCGCCGATTCACACCATGTCTCTCCTTGTCATGGGATCATCCCCACATAAAAAACAGGACGAAGAAATCGCAACCGCCACTAAAAATGAGAACCAGTTCCTGTCTTCCAAGCCCAGAGAAAAGGACACGACTAACGTTGAAGAGTGTCAGCTACCGAAGATTAGACATGTGCCAGCGGAAATCCCGGTTGCAGTCGTTGAACAGCGTGTGTCGAATTTGGCACAGGGTGCTCTCTGTTTGGTGCTCCTCACTGGGCCGTTCCTACACGTGTTGGGCCTCATCCCTCGTGGTGAGAACATGGTTATAATAAAATTATTTTCATCTAACTTTTTGCAGGGGTATTAGCTGGTCTGTTGTACGTTGCGCCGTCCTCTTTTAAATGTATATGTGTACTGATTCTTCTTTTTGACTCATAGTTGGTTTATGGGAGCAGATGCCCTTCGCGGCAACGGAGTCACTCTAAAAATATTATACTTCTTGCGCGACAAGAGGCTTACCTCTGACGACGACTCACTGAGGAAAGTACGCAAGTCGCGCATCCTTCTCTTCATCGGTGTACAACTTGTCGGTTTCGGAGCCACCTTCGCTATCACACAGACCATAGGTGACCAGTTCCCTTGCTTGAAGTGTGCTGGTACCCCTACTAAAGTGTTCCCTCGTGTAGCTGCGATAGGATTCCCGGTTATAATCATGCTGCTACTTCCTTTGCGTGTTTTTATTATTCCCAGGCTACCATTCACGACAGAGGAACTGGCGATTCTTGACCAACCTACGGCGTCTCCGTTTGTATGTCCCTCTTTCCGTCTTTAATCCCGCCCTTTCCCCATGTCCAACCAACTATCCCGCTCACATCTAATACTTTTAGACAATGGAATCCGTCGGCGGGTCTTTATAGGCCCAAACCGAGATCACATGTTTCTACCTCCGGCCTATTGGGGGAACCGGCATCCTTCCAAGGTACTACTCATTGTTTCCGCGTTGTAGCGGGTTCATGTCTACATCTAATTATATTTATCTACAGAAGACGTAGGAAACCGTCACACTAGGCCCGAGCTCTTCAACTCCGCGGTCCACCAAATTGGCTTCGTGGTTTCGATGCGGACGTGCTTGTTTTCTAGGACGAGGTGGTTGGAGGTCGATACCATCCCGTCGAACGAAGATGGATGTTTGTCTATCAGTGCATTGGTAGCGTCAATTAAATGCCAGATTTAGTGAAAGGAACATACGAACCGAGATTCCATCGTAGGCCGGAAGTCGTCAAAATCGTCGAGTCAATACCGACGGGCAGCAGCCCGCAAGTCTTCCCTAAGAGATCGTGGTCGATCTCGATAATATGTTCGCCCTGGTGTATTACCTGCAGCGTCAAAACAGTCTCCAACAATCAAACCAAACGAATAGCGACGCACAGCATCCAACACCCA